TTTGGTCAGAGTTTACTTAGATCCCCTTGGACTCTAATCTTATTCTCTAGCCAGATTTTTGTGCCAAATTCACATCTTTTTTTTTTGGTGGTACACTCACCAGCCCTTTTTGTTTGGGTATTTTTGAGATGGGGTCTCACAAACTCTTTGCTTAGTCTGGCTTTAAACTGGGACTCTCCTGATCTCTGCCTCCCAAGTAACTATGATTATAGGCGTGAGCCACTGGCACCCTGCCAAATTCACCTCTTTGCTTTGCTTTTCAGCATGAAGACCTGGTGCTATGAACCTCCTGTAGCAAATGCTGGGGCAGAATGCAGCCAGGATGTTCTGAAGAGCTACGCCACCAACCCCTTGCACTCACATCACACTAAGCCTGGGACAGGGCCTTGGGTGACCTGGGATGTGCAGGCCCTGGCTCTGGATGGCAAATGCCCAAAGGTTGGAAGACCAAGAGGGCCTTGTGTCCTTGCCTCATGGGGTGGGAAGGAGAAGACAGGATGACCCACATAAAACCCAGCTCCTTCAAAGTGGCGTGACTGTGACTGGGGACTGCTTTAAGTGGGTCAGCCTGCATCTCTTCATGTTGGCCTTAAACGCTTCAAAACCTGGCTGTTAAACGTCTGCATCCTGTTTTCATTAGCTTGTAAGCCATGGCGACAGGACCTGCCTAAGTTTTCTGAAGCAGCAAGTGTGTCCAGAGGCTAATAAACAGCAGGTGCCTCCCATAGATGGGATTTTAGTCTTCACTGGAAATGCAAGTACAAATAAACACATGAACCAGAAATGGGAACTCAAGTCCACGTGCAAGCTGCACAATTTGTAACTGTTTTGATCTGAAAACTGTGGTGTGACCGTGTTTTACAAGCACAGGATGTGTGTATACTACATGGAGTGTGTTTCTTTTTTCTTTTTTTTTTTTTTTTATTTTATTCATATGTGCATACAATGTTTGGGTCATTTCTCCCCCCTTACCCCACCCCCTCCCTTACCCCCCCACCCTCTCTTTTTTGGTTTTTGAGGCAGGGTCTTGCTATGTAGCCTAATCTGGCCTCAAACTCCAGATTCTCCTACCTCAGCCTCTCGGATTACAGATGTGCACCAACATACCTGGTGAGACTGTGTTTCTGTAGATAGTGTTTCTATTTGTGGTGTGTGGTAAAGATGTGTGTGTGTGTGTGTGTGTGTGTGTGAAGAAAAGTCTTCATCACTAGACTGGAGGAAAAAACCCAGCTTCATAATTAGTAAGGGTCATTGCAAAATGAAGGTGTGGGCCCAGATCTCAGGACTGTGACATGGAGCATGAAACCAAGCTCAGGCCTTCTTTGAGTGAAGGGCAAGTGGTCCATGAAGCAGGCTCTGTTTGGGGAAGCATGTCTTCTTGTCTCCCTTCCCTCTTGCTTGCTGCCTTGAAAAGCTCTGAGTCCCCTTTTGTTCTCCCCAGCCAGTTCCCCAGATGCCGTTGGCCTCAGCAATGCAAGGAGGTGGCCAGCAGCAGTCTGGACAGGAGCTACAGAGGGAACTGTGCAGCTTGCCTCTGCTTTCCTGAGCCTCCTCCTGCTCCAGGCAGGGCCTCCCTCACAAGGAACACTGCCATCCATAAGTTGTCTCTTCCTCTTCTTGGTTCGAAATGATCTCCTTAGAAGGTCAAGTCACCTCCTAGCCCTTCACCCTCCACCCTGTATTGTGGAGTCATGCTCTGCACCCCTCAGGACTTTGAAGCCTTCAGGTTCCTCTCCAAGGCCCCACTGTGTTCCCTGGAAGGTGTCAGGGAGCAGGATTCACCTAAAGCATGTCACATGTCCCCAGTGTTCACCAAGGCCTTCAATTCTCCAGGGGCCTGAGTCTCTCCTGCCCTGGGCTCCTGCTGATTCATTCAACTCTTTTAGGGGAAGAGGAATGGCAGAGAGGAACCAGGAATCTGGGGCAGAATTGAGCCAATGGTGCTCACAGCTCAGAAATTTTGTGAGGGGGTGTGGAGGGTGGGGATTCCCTAAGTCCTTCCTGTTTATTGTCTTGACTTGCCTCCTCTCAGGTCAAGTTCAGTGTGCCTGCTTCCGAGCACACTCAGGAGATGCTAATGGGTGATAATGAGGGTGTTCCACCCCAATACCTATACTCATCAATAATTAGCTCTCATGCCCTGGGTTGTGTGTGGGAGGAGGCCGTGGTTCCCTGCCTGCCCCAGCTGGTTCAGCTCTATCAGCATAGCTGTTCCCAGGTCTCAGTGCTTCCACTGTGGGTGTCTTTCAAGGGCTAAGGGAACTTGAGAAATTACCTTCGTTCATTGTGTCCCTGATCCCAGAGACAGGCTTCTAAACTCAGCCAAAGGATGACCTCTGACCCCTTCCAAAAATCGTGGCAACCACGATGCCCTGTGTGATGGAACTGTGAACAGATGAGGCCAGGAGGGCATCCCTGTGGAAGGGCACTTGTCTTGAGCCGCAGTCACGCAAAGTACAGAGACTGTGGGGAAGGCTGGTGCCAGGTGGGCTTGGCCTCCTCCATCAGACAGGTGATTTGGGCCCAAGCAACTGAGCGGGAGTGGAGATTGATATAAATTTGTTAATCATTGGCCATTGGGCTTTGCCAGAGAGACGGAAGGAGAGAGAGATAGAGAGAGAGAGAACCTAGTCTCCCACACAGAAAATAAACTGGCTTTCCATTTCCAGTTAAAAAAAAAAAAAGAGTCCTGATTTAGCATTGACCAATTTCTGTGGTGCAAACACTCCCACCTTGTCCAATTTCAAGCTGCCAATTGGCTTAGCAACTGGTCCAGAACATTTAACAATCGGCTCCCACTTCACTGCCTCTGGGGCCATGGCCCTCATCAGAGGCCACTGGAAACACAAACCTCCAGGACCTAGGGTCTGCCTTTCAGGCCCGGCACCGTGCTTCCCTGTTTTCACTTGCAAAATGCCCTTGCCCAACCGCTGATGGCATGGTACCTCAGATCAGCCCTGTGAACTTCTGCTCTTAGGGGTCCTAAGGGATGCAAAAGGACCTAGACAAAGTAAGCCCCAAACCCAAGCAAATAAAGTCTCAAGGGACACCTAGTCTTAGTCTAAGAGCAATGGGGAGATCTGACCTCAACATCTAGAATGTGCTTTCAAGAGTCAGTTTAGGACATCTAGCAGTCCTGGCTTGTCAGCTGCTGAGCCACCGTTTTTCTCCCTTCCCCCAGTCACATGCTAGTCTTCTCACACATTCCCACTTCCAGGGGACCAGGTGTGTGAGGTGATGAATGCCAGGGAGCCAAGAAGCCATACGGTTAGTCCCTGGGCCACAGAACCACACCCATCCCGAGGGCTCCAAGTATATCCACAAAAGTCCACTGGCAGAAGGGGCTTCCTGGTCTTTGAGTGTCTGGGCCATTTCTCTGGATGCACATTGTTTTATTGCGCAACCTTCTCAGAGACCCACCTGCTCTTGACACTTCAGTGATCCACTTCCCCCTCCCTGGGCTCCTGGAATGCTACCATGGCCCCTCCTTAGCCAGGCAGCTATGATGAGAGGTGTTGACCCAAGTGCTTCTCAGCTGGCTCACTGGGTCAGGTGGACAGTGCTGGAGACAGGAGCAGGGATTGAGGGTCTTGAAGTGTGGCTGGATTGAGCCAGGTGCATCTGGGGTCAGGCACAGGGTGACGTATGGCATAAGGAACTGGAGAAGGACAGGCTCTCGGCCAGGAAAAACAACCTAGAGCCACAGGTGTGCCATTGAGCCATCCTCCCCTCCCATTCTTAATCTCTCCTGTTAGTGACAGCACACAGCCTGACCTGGAGCTCACCTCTTGGGTCCCAGAGTAAGTTTTTATGGGGGCTGGTGACAATCGTGAAGGATAGGTTTGTGGGCCCCAGCATGGTGTGTTACAGGAGTCAAATAGGTGAACATACCATTAGAGCACACTGTACCGTGTGTTCAGCCAGTGTGTGTGCATGTGCTAGGGACAGAGAGGTGATGACATTTAAACAGGGTCATGAATCTGGGTCCCTTCCACAGCCCCAGTCTCCCCACACAGGCCCACGCAAGGCCTCCAGTCTTGGGGCTCACAGATCTGGTCCATGGCATCTGTAGCCTTCACCGTCAGTAACAGAGGGGTGTCACTCAGACCTCCTCCTCCAGTCAAAGCCTTCCAGTTCCTCTCCAGTGGCTTGACCAATGTGCCAGATGTTTTCTCACTCCGAACCAAGGAGAGTGAGACTGCCCCGTTCTGGGGCACTCCCCTGTACTGGGGGTAGGGGAGGAGGGGCTGCAGTGCTGGGGAAGGGGCTCATTGAAAGGCTCCTAGAAAGTGGGGGGGCTGAGTAGGGAGTAGACAATGCATGAGTCCAGTACGGGGACCACCCAGACTTGGAATGAGATCCTGGATTCTGGCATTCACTCCCACAAGTCCAAGGTCTATGCCAGCCCAGTTGTGGACCTTAATGAGAGCCCACAGATATGAGACCTAGCGCAGAACAGGGCTGACTCTGAATTAGGAGTGACCAATGAAGGAAGATTACTGCAGTAATTGAGTTCATATAAAGTGATCTTGTGTGTGTGTGTCTTAACTCACTTAACAATTATTTCTTTGCATTCTTGATTCTGGGTCCCTACTTTACCTCTCATTCCAGAGAATCTTCTAGGGGCCTCTCTTTGCTTTAGAATGTATGAGAGAAACCTAATCAGTTCCTGGCACATAGTGGGAGTTCAATCATTGTAAGCTCCTTTGCTGTGACCACTCAAGATGGTCACTTGGGATAAGCAAAGGGGACTTCCCCAGTCTAAAAGCTGAGGGAGTCTGCTCTTGGCCTTCCCCTGCCTTCTCTGGCTATTGACAAACACCTGAACATCATAACATCCTCCATGTCCTCATCTGGGTTATTCTGGGACACAGGCTGGGGAGGGTACTCAGGTACCCCTTCCCCCACTGAGACTGCCTTTCTTGCCACGTGGGCTGGCCTATGTCAGTCCCATGGATGGATGCAGAAGGGTGAGGCACCGATCCTGCTAGTCAGGCAGGATGCTGGCAGGAGGGCGGGATGATGGGGGGGGTGGAGCTTCCAGAACAAAGGAGAATGGGGAGCCCTGGGGGCCCAGGCTAGGCATCAAAAAGGCTCTGCAGAGCAAGCAGGCCACAAACCACCCACCTCTGTGCCCAGCCGCATAGCCCTTGTCTGATCCCTTCTGCTTGCCCCTGCTGGGCAAGTAAGCAACACTCTGCTTCTAGAGGCCTTGTTCTCCAGCGTGATTGCGTCGACACTGCTCTGTGGCTTTCTCTACTTGGCCTGGGTTGCTGCTGAGGTTCCAGAGTTGAGCAGAGGGATGGCTGCGAGTGGAACCAGGAGCCAGGGAGGCCGCCGGGAGCATGCGTTCATCCCAGAGCCTTTTGATGGGGCCAATGTAGCCCCAAGCCTCTGGCTGCACCGCTTTGAGGTCATTGATGACCTCAACCATTGGGACCATGCCACCAAGCTCCGGTTCCTGCAAGAGTCACTCAGGGGAGATGCCCTGGAGGTCTACAATGGACTCAGTCCCCAGGACCAGGGAGACTACAGGACTGTGAAGGAGACACTCCTGCAGGCCTTTGGGAGCCCAGAAGCTGCCCACAGCCTCCGGCCCAAGGAGATTGTGTTTGCCAACAGCATGGGTAAGGGCTATTACCTCAAGGGGAAGATTGGCAAGATACCCGTGAGGTTCCTGGTAGACTCTGGGGCCCAGGTCTCCGTGGTCCACCCGAGCCTGTGGGAGGAGGTCACCGATGGCGATCTGGATACCCTGCGACCCTTTGAGAATGTGGTAAAAGTGGCCAATGGGGCTGAAATGAAGATTCTGGGCGTCTGGGACACAGTGGTGTCCCTGGGTAAGCTGAAGCTGAAGGCAGAGTTCCTAGTGGCCAACGCAAGTGCTGAAGAAGCCATCATTGGCACAGACGTGCTCCAGGACCACAACGCTGTCCTGGACTTTGAGCATCGCACGTGCACCCTGAAGGGAAAGAAGTTCCGCCTCCTGCCTGTCGGAGGCTCCCTGGAAGATGAGTTTGACCTGGAGCTCATTGAGGAGGACCCCTCCTCACAGGAGGGGCAGCAGCAGCCCTCCTATTAAGAAGCCCTTTCTCCTTGCTTTCCAGCATTGGTGGGGAGACCCACCATTGTGGGGGGCAGGTATTCCCTGGGGAGCCATTGGGTGTGGTCAGCCCCTAAAGCTCACTCTTGCTCCTGGCTCCCCTCCCTCCTACAGGGCCTTGCTCTGCCCCTGGTGTGGGAGACTTCATAAAAATGGCACATGGGAGGGAGAACAGCCTGGCATGGTCCCCATGGTTGTTGAGCTGCTGTTGATTGCAGTGACTTGAAGGTCAGAAGATGTTTCCAAAAAGGCTAGAAATGTCTGTCTTTGAGAGAGAACTGGGGGCCCCTTCAGATCCTCTGAGGTGTGGCTTAGGTTCAAGAAGCCTGCTCAGCTGGGCTGGGTCTGACCACAGAGCCCTCATGTGCCAGAGCCTTGGGCAAGGGTGACAGTTGCTATGGGATGCCTCCCTGAAGAGTCTTCCCACCAGCCAGTGGTATGTTTTCTTCTGTCATTTGCTTTGAAACCCATTGAGACTTGTGCCAATAATTTGATTACTTCAAAAACCAATAAAGATCGGTTTGTGGAAAACCCATGTAATGTGCTGATTGGGAGAGGGTGGGGTAGATGGGGGGGGGGAATAGGGAGAAAGTGACAAAAACAAGGAAGACTCGAGTCTTTACTGTGTGCTTGGTCTGAGGACATAGAAGAAATGACCCTAAATCTGCTGGTGCCTTGATTTTGGACTTCCTGCCCTACAGAACTGTGAGAAATATATATCTGTTGTTTATTTTTTTAAAAAAAGAAAAGAAATACACAGTAATTACAGGTCTTAGGTTTTCTAAGATAGCTCAACTTAAAATATTTTGACTTATTCACTCTCTAATTCCTCTTATCATTTCTAATCTAGTCATAATTCTTCTAATTATTCTATTCTAGATTATACTAATCTATAATAGTCTACATCCAAATTGCTCCTCGTACCCGAAAGTTACCCTAAGGCTATTTGTGACATGTCTTGACTGGGGATTGGAAAACGATGGTTAGTTGTAAACAAATGGAAAGGTATCTGCCAGGTAAATAGGTTTTTATGGTCACTGTGGGAGCCAGAACTTGGATACACAAAGTAAGGACAGGAGACAAGTGTTGACTTGTGTGGGCCGCCCACGGGAGTTCTGGGGGACAAGAGGGTAGCAGCAGTGGGGGGCTCAGGCAGCTGGCAGAGGCTTTGGCACCTTCTTCCTGGGGGGATTTGTTCAGGAGCCTGAAACTAGCAACACCAGATAGAGGCGGAGGACATTCTCAGAGCCAGGAATGGAGGTCTTTCAGGGGTCCACCTCCTAATTGCCTCTAGCTTCTTGCCTTTTCCTCTGGAACTTAGCAGGTCTGGGAATCTGAAAACCCCTCGAGCTGAAAGGAGAAGCTGAGTGGACAGAAAGCTCCACGAGGCTCAGATCTGTCCCAAATCTCATGCCTCCTCACTAAGTACCTCACCGACCTGTCCTTGGAGAGGTTGGCCCAGAGACTCCACAATGAGCCCAGGAATGTCAGTGCAAGGCCAGAGACTGGACCGTGCAGGAACACGGGCATGGAACAAGCTACGAAAGTCTCTTGATGGGAGGTGTGAGTGGCCGTTTTCCCTCTCCAGGTGGAACAAGCCTCTTCTGGATCCATCTGGACAACTCCCTAGTGGAGAGGCGAGGGACAGGAGGCCAGGGTGGGCCTGCCTTCTGCAATGCCTCTGGACCTCCATGCTGATCTGAGCCAGCCTCCCTCAGGTGTCAGCTATGACTCTCCTGGGACCTGCGATGTAACTTGGCCCCTAATCCCCAGGTTTTTTGAAGCCCTGTCACTGGGCAGCCAAGCACATTGACTGGAATTAGCTCTCAGCCCTGGACATGGGGTGAAGGGCAGGTGTGGATCAGGAGGCCATCTCTGGCCAAGAAAGGGAGGTTTGGGAACAGGGCAGTGCCCTGGTGCCTCCCAGGTCCCTGTTCCCTTCTCAGGTCTACTTTTCAGCCTGTCTTCTGGCTTCACAATTGCTGCTGCTCTCTTGGGCCAAGCCCTTTCTTGAGGAACAACCAGGTGGCACCTCCCTGTGACCTATTTTCCTCTAGGTCCTTCAGATCCTAACCTTGTGAGGCTGCAGAAGGGCGGGTAAGGAGCAGGTGAGTGGGGAGGTGGGAAGGAGATGGGGAATTGGGTGGCTAGGCCAGAATTTTGGGGCAATGCTCAAGCCATCTCTGTCCTCACATGGAAGGGGGTTGAGCCCTGTCTTAGGCAGACTTAGATGGGTGTCCTGCAACAGACACCCCCTTTTCCTGGTTCTGAGGGAGGAGAGCCCCTCTGAGCTGGCAGGCTCCCAGCCAGCTACCTTTCCTAGGGGAAGGGAATACCTTGAGTGAATCCAGCTAGAGGAGGGCTCTGCAATGTCTACAGAACAGCCTCCCCTGCCCCAGGAAGGGGCCACATGGTGCTTTTTACCTGGAGACCCGAATGTCATTGAGGCAGGTGCTTCATGGGCATGAGAGTGACAACAAACGTGGCCGCATTCAGGACTGTGAGCTGCTACTCCCAGGAAACCGAGTGTCTAAGGGAGAACCTGGGGGAGAAGCCAGGAAAAGTGAGTTTTAGCCGCATCATGAGGGTCTGCTCCCCAGAGCAGACTTACAGGTGGGTGTCTGAGCCTTGGAGGGGCAAAGAGTCCCCTGGGTACAGGTTCAGTTTTTTTTATTATTATTTAATTATTTATTTTTGGTACTGGGGTTTGAACTCAGGGCTTCACGCTTGCTAGGAAGGCACACTACCACTTGAGCCACTCTGCCAGTGTCCCCTGGGTACAGAATGGAGTAGAACAGCAGCAATATCCAGCCCAGAATCTGTGGCAGCATTGACAGAGGGGCTGAGGCTGACATGATGGTAAGGTGGACAGGGAGTAAGGCAGAGGCACAGCAGACTCTCCAGGGAGACTAGTGACAGTCTGCTCCCATCTGTCCTCTACCCTCAGGTGACCAGCAGAAAGGTAGCAGTAGTGTCACCTGGGTCCTTCATAGACACACAGACTCTTGGATCCCACCTAGTCTGGCTGGGCCTAGACTACCTGAGCAAAAATTCCAGGTGATTCTCACTGCTTGAAAAGCCTTGGCCTGGGATATCGTGCCACCTCCAGGGAAGAGGCAGCTCCTGGCCCCTTTCTAACAATGACCACCACACACTGGAAGCCTACCAACTCCCCAGAGTAAACTAGAGAATCCCTCATGTTTTTTTATCGAGCAAATATTTATTTTTAAACATTTGTGTTGAAATCATTTCAGACTTACAGAAAAATTGCAAGAGTAGTACAAAGAATTTCCAAATGTTTCATCTAGATTCCCAATGTTAATATTTTACCAATGTATCATTCTCTACCCCGTTCTCTTTCTCTGAACCATTTGAAAATTGCAAATACAGGGGCCAGGTACAGTGACTCACACCTGTAATCCCAGTTTCTTGGGTGGGCAGAGATCATGAGGATCAAAGTTTAAAGCCAGGTCAGGCAAAAATTTGGCAAGACTCCATCTCAATAAACTGGGCGTGGTGTACACATATGTAATCCCAGCTACACAGGAGGCATAGGTAGGAGGCTCACCATCCAGGCTGGCCCCAGGCAAAATGTAAGACCCTATCTGAAAAATAACTGAAGCAAAAAAGGGCTGGGGGCATGGATCAAGTGGTAGAGCACCTGCCTATCAAGTGCAAGACCCTGAGCCCAAACCCCTGGACTGCCTCACACACACATGCGCAAATATAAATACAATGCACGTTTACCTCAAATGACTTCAGTGATTATCTTTTTAAAATGACATTCTCCTGTATAAGCATAACAGAATGATCAAAATCAGGAAATCCATGCTGATGTGATGCTACTATTATTTGATTGACAGACCTTATTAAAATTTCTTCAATTACCCCAATAATCTTTCTAGACAAAGAAAAAGTTATTTTGTAGTCCAGGATCCAATTCAGTCACACACTGCTTCAAGTTGTCAGGTCTCTTTGGTCTCCTTTCATCTGAACAATTCCTCAGTCTGTCTCTGTTTTCACGACTTTGACCTTTTTTTTGTGTGTATGACCATACTAGAGCTTGAACTCAGGGACTCGTGCTTGCTAGACAGGCGCTCTACCACTTGAGCCACTCCAACAGCCCTTTTTTGTGCTAGGTATTTTCAGGAAAGAGTCTCAAACTTTTTGCCTGGACTGGCCTTAAAACTTGATCCTCCTGATCTCTGCCTCCTGAGTAGCTAGGATCCACCAGTGCCTGGCCATCATTGTTTATTCTGATGTGCAAATCACTTTAGATTTGGCTATGGGAGTCTCTTCAACTGACTCCTGTCTTCTTGGGGCATGTTCCCATCATAACTGAGCCCTTCCTTCTTTTCTGACACAACATATTCCAGATTCAGCTCATCCAGGCCTGCACCAGCCATTTCTTCAAAGAGCCCTGCTTCCTGCCGGTGGGCTCTGGTATTCAGAAACCAGGATCTGGGTGGTAGGTGTCCTTACTGCTACTGGGATGTAAGGTCCTCTCGGTGGTTGGAGCTAAGAAAAAAAATATATAGCACATCTTACTTTATTTCTCGTTCTCTTTCTGTATGTATTAAAAATACGAGTTCACTTCTATTCCTCCAGTCCAATCCAACACTGTTAATCTCATCCCAGCCTCCCTCCCCATATCTGCATGTCCTTTCCCAGCAATGGAACCTGCTTCCAGGTTACTTATTTGCTCAATGCTAAAATACTCAGAAAGTAGCTTCAGAATTGCTAACTAAACCCCATGTCTGAAAAACAACCCTAGAAGCAAGTAGTTATTAGTGTCACCTACTGAGTGCCAGGTGTGGGTGGTCCTTGGCAGCAATGAGAAAGAGAAATGATGAAATCCGAATGTAGTCATCCAAAGGAGGGCCTGGCCTTCCCAGGTGCCCAGGGTTTGCTTGAGGACTAGGCTGAAGGAATTGCATGATGGAAAGACGTGGAAGGCAGCAGAGTCAGAGACCAAAGGC